TAAAATCAATTGCTTTTCTATACAATTAACATGAACAATTTGCAAATGAAATTAAGAAAACAATCTCCTTTACAATAGCATTAAAATATTAGAAATAAAATTAATAAAGTGGGAATTCTGCACACTGAAAACTACAAAACATTGTTGGAAGAAATTAAAACCTAAATAAATGTAAAAACATCCCATGTTCATGGATTAGAAGAATTAATATTGTTAAGATGGTAATACTCCCCAAATTGATCTACAGATTCTTCACAATCCTTATCAAAATCCCAGCTGGATTTTTTTTTTTTTTTGCAGTAATTGGCAAGGTAATCCTAACATTCATATGGAAGTGCATGGGACATAAATTAGCCAAAAATATTATTGAAGAAGAACAAAATTGGTGGACTCACATTTTCCAATTTCAAAAATTACTACAAAATTTATTATACTAATCAAGACACTGTGTTATTAGAATAAGGAAAGACATCTAGATCAATGGAACAGAAATGAAACTCCAGAGATAAACACTTATATTTATGTTTAACTGATTTTAGACAAGGGTGCTAAGGCAGTTTAATGGGGTAAAAAAAAATTTTCAATAATTCTCCTGGAACAAATGGACATTGCATGCAAAAGAATGAAACTAGATTCTTATCTTATAGCATACACAAAAATAATACAAAATGGATCATAGACCTAAACCTAAGAGGTAATGTTATAAAACTCTTAGAAGCAAACAGAAATCTTTATGGTTTGGGTTAGGTAATAGCTTCTTAGATATGACACCAAAAAGCAAAAGTGACCATAAAAAAAAGAAAAACAGATACATTGGACTTTTGTCAGACATGTGTTTTACATTGGCAAATGATAATACCCAATATAAAGAAGATGTGAAAAAAAGACAGCATGTTAGCACACTAGGATGTAAGCTTTCTACTATAACCTCAAGGTCCAGAAGAACGCAGGGTAGCTAGTAGGTGCTCAATAAATATTTGTGGATGATTATCAATGGAAATATAAATTGATACAAGTTTTATGGTGGCAATGTGACTATATGTGCCAATAATTAAAATGCACATACCCTTTCCTCATTAATTTCAATTCTAACTATCCAAAAGGAAAAATTGAATAAGTCTCAAAAATGAATGTGCAGATTTATGCGTTGCATTTTAATTTACTTATTGAATGGATACTTACTGTTTGTCTGATGGGTGCCAAAAATATACTAATGCTACAAATATAATGTTGAACTATGTATCAAACTGTTTTCCTCCTTTGAATAATAATATGACTGATGGCATAAAGATATTTGACTAATTAAAAAAATCTACATCTATTTTGGATTAAAATTTGTATTAAATTAGTACTAGAAAGATATTTCCCAACATGAGCTTAAAACATTATGATGCTTCACAGAAAACTAGGAATAAGATAAGCCAAGAAAATAATGCGACCTGGTTCTGGAAATTCTAAACAATATAAGAAAAATAGGTAAAAATTATAATTATTTAATATGGAAGAGACAAATAACAATATTTGCAGTCATATTTGCAGTCTATTACAGTATTCCTGAAAAATCTAAAATAAATTGATGGATAATTTAAAATAACTGAAGCTTAAAGTAAGATGGACAGTTGTTTGTTTTGTTTTGTTTGTTTAAGTAGGCCCCATGCCCAGCGTGGAGCCCAATGTGGGGCTTGAACTCATGACCCCTGAGATCAAGACCTGAGCTGAGATCGAGAGTCAGACACTTACCTGACTGAGCCACCCACCCACCCCAAGATAGACAGCTTTATATATACCTCACCAACATTATTTTCAAAATTTAAGAGCATAAAATACATAAAATGCAAACAATTACCCAGCACAAAAGAACACAGCAAAATTACTTCAAAATAGTTCAAAATTTTGCTGAGTAGCATAAAATAATAAAATAAAAGGCTTGGGGTGCCTGGGTCGCTCAGTCCATTGAGCATCTAACTCTCGGTTTCAGCTCAGGTCATGATCTCATGGGTCCTGGGATAGAGCCCCAAGACAGGCTCCACATTCAGCAGGGAGTTTGCTTGAAGATTCTCTCCCTCTGCCCCTCCTCCCACTCCCGTTCTTTCTCTCTCTCTCTCAAATAAATAAATCTTTAAAAAATAATAAGTAAGATAAAAGGCTAATCTTATTTCTGAAAAGGAAGCTCAATTTTATAGAGAAATCACTTCCTTGAAATTTTTTTATTAGTTTAATGCAACACGAATCAAAATTCCCATAGGACTTATGGCTATAAACTTGAGAAAATGATTCCAAAGTTTATCAGGAAAAGTAAAACAGAAAACTGGCCAATAATATTGTAAAAAGAAAAGAATAGAGGCCACTCATCCTACCAGAGAGTTAAAAGAATTTTAACAATACCAACCAGGCCAAATTGCTAGCAAATAAATCACTACTGTGGTAGGGTGGTTTGTTACACAAGAAGAATCCAAGATACGCAATTTAAGATGATTTTTCACCTATCAGATTGACAGAATATTGTATGTGCATGCTATATAAATGATGCAACCTAGTTGTACAAAGACAATGAGCAACACTTTCCACTGTTACTGGCATTTAATATACCTGGTATAACCTTTTTAGGAGAGCAATTTGGCAATACATATCAACAGCCTAAAATATGTACATAGAGTTTGACCCAACTATTCTTCTTCTAGAAAGATATAATGAAAATAAATAATGTGAAAGCAAACATTTATCTACAAGGATGTTTTCTACAGCATCATTTATAAAGCCCCCAAAATGGAAAAATCTTAAGTGCATAGTAAGAAGGATTAGTTAAGGGACTATAACATGATATAGCCATTAAATAATAGGATAGATCATCCCTAAAAAATTAAATTGTATTTAGAATACTTAATTCAAAACACAAAAAGCTATCCATGACATTTTAATTGATACACTGAGTAAAAAATGCGGGTTAAAAATAATTCATAAAGTATTATTTCATTACAATTATAGATGTAAAAATATAAGCATAGAGATAGAGAGAGGGAGACAGAGAAAAACAGAGCAAACCCTATATATAACCAGGGGTCATTGTCAAGTATTAGGATTTATTTATTGCTTATTTTTTCTTTCTGCTCTTCTAAACTTCTCATTTTAACTTTGATAATAAACTTTCATAAGCAGGAAGAGAATATCATTGACACACTTGATTAAAATATTGCAAATGGTCAGGGCATGTGAGAGTTGAGGAGATATTAGAATAGTGTAAAAATTAAAAAGAGAAACATCTTCTGAATCTCCTCAATACACTTGTCGATTATGCTTTTTTCTGAATTAGAAAGACAAATTAGAAATACCCTGACAATATTTCATGCACTTGAAAGTCCTTTGCTGAAAAGATAAAAAGAAAATCTAAATAATATTTGTACTCTGCTATGATCTGATAGCCTAAATTAAGCCAAAGAAAAATACTTGCAAGGTAATTTTCAAAAAAAAAAGAAAAGACGTTCTCTCTCTTCCTGGTAACCTTGCTAAAAAGTATCTATCTAGAGAACAGAAGATCACCAGAGGGGAGGTGGGGGGCAGGGGGATGGTGAAACAGGTGATGGGGATTCAGAGTACACTTACAGTGATAAACACCAAGTAATGGAAAGAATTGTTGAATCATTATATTGTACACCTGAAACCAATATAACACTGTATGTTAATTATACTTCAATTTAAAAAATAAAAATTAGAAAATTTTTTCCAAAAAAATTTAAATTAAAGGTATCTAAATATCACTGTTTATTAATGTAGATGAAACCTATAGAAATTGAATATAGTATAGTATACATCTGAGTATACTTACTGTTGTGTATAAGATGAGAATTTTCATTTTCTCTAATGCCAGAAAAGTAGCTTTTGCTATCTCATGCACTACGCTTGACTACAGCTAGAACAAACACGAGTGAACTCTGTAGACTACATCATTCCACATGAATCACATGTGCACAGAACCCATAAAACATATCCCAATTAATGTATTGTACTTTAAATAGCAAAATTACTCTTTAGCATTTTCTTAAATCTAAACCTGTCCTCAAATTTCCTTTACTTTTTCCTCCTGAAAGCTAAATAACAGCTATCATTGTTCCTAAAATAAGATTTCAATCTCAGGAAAGCGTACTTCAGTGACATCCCTAAAAATGGGTAATTAAAGACAGTACTTGCATTCAAAATGCTTTCTTATTGCGTTATGAATTATTTTCACTTAGTTCATTCTATTCTACACCTATTGGGTTCAAGGCATCATGCTAGTTATGTTGGAATGTAAAAAGTGTTTTGACATAAAAATGTTATACTCTATTTGTCATAGAGAAATTTGACTCTTGCTTAGGAAGATGCAGCAACATGACATTCCTCATCATGGGTAGCAAGAAGCTCTCTCCTTGGCACTTTGTTGCAAAATCTCAGAAGCAAAAACATGAAAAATGGCCCCCGAATGTTTGCCAAGTGGTATCCCTTGCTCCTGGGCATATTCCAGGAAAGATACTCCCTTTGATTTTGTTTGTTTGTTGTTCTTAAATTACTAAACATCAAGTATAAAAAGAACCACTCTCATAGCAACCCGTCTTAAATCCTCACAGCACATCTTTGGTCATTTCAGGTAGTGATTCCAGGAACATTAAACATATCCCACTTAAATATAAGTATAAAGCACATGCTGGCTCAAATATAAGTGATTTTTGAGTTAGCCTCAACTTTCTTCCATAACATGTCATATCTTGAATTTTCTAGAAAGCAGAACTGAGACCATAGGTTCCTTGTGTGTGTTCTGTGTACCTCTCAAGACACTCCACAAGCATGAGCCAGACACCTCTAGCAATCACTTTACTGAATTAAAAGGTACACTCAGGCATGCTCACAAGTTAGAAAAAGACCCATTACAAAAAGAGTTTAGGTGATCTCTGATAGCTTCTGAGTTAGGATTATCTTAACTCCACTACTCTCCAGTCAAATGAGTAATAGAAAGCATGTGAACATACTTCTTTGGGAGAAAATGCTATGCCACCTTCCAGAGATGTCCCTTCCTCTAACTCCAAAGAATATATGTCAGGAAACGCAGGGTCTGTGAATTCCCCTATAAAACATTAAAAAAATATATATTTTTTTTTAAAAGCCAAATGCATATCTATAATACCACTGTTAAATGTGTAAATGAAACTCTGAGAAGCCTCATAAACCTGTCTATAACAATCAAAAAGCAATTGCTGTGCACGGCTGCATAAGGTTGCTGCTCGTTAAAGAATGACTCTTAATACCAAGGTTCCAATCAGCAAAACTGATATTCAAACATGTAGCAAACATATATTCAGTCAGTAAAACAGACAGTAAACCCATTTTTTTTTTTTTAATTTCCAAAGTTCAAGGAGCTTATGACAGTCATATTCAGAAGAATGTAGAAAGGGGGCGCCTGGGTGGCTCAGTTGGTTAAGCGACTGCCTTCGGCTCAGGTCATGATCCTGGAGTCCCTGGATCGAGTCCCGCATCGGGCTCCCTGCTCAGCAGGGAGTCTGCTTCTCCCTCTGACCGTCCCCCCCTCTCATATGCTCTCTCTCACTCTCTCTCTCTCAAATAAATAAATAAAATCTTTAAAAAAAAAAAGAAGAAGAATGTAGAAAGGAATGAAGGTCAAAGTCAAGTACGGGACTGAATATTAGGTCCAAGAAAGTGGGAGACTCCCTCTCCAGCAAAGACAGAGCAGGGAAGACCCAGATCTCCACTGATGTCTCCAAGAGGCCACAGAGGAGATGAACAATTTTATACAAGGTCACTTTTTGACAAAATAGAATCACTCCAGATATAAAAGCATTAGGTAGAGATAAACAATTATTGAATAATAATGCAAACTTCAGGATGAAAAATTATAACCACTTAAGTAAACTTCTAGAAGAAGTTCCTGAAAGATCAAATGTTTGTTACAGTAGAACCTCTGTCCTTATCTAAACAATTCTAAAAATCGTGTTTTCTCCTTCAAGTTTTCTGATTAATGCAAGGAATGATGATCATTTCAATCACCCCTGTGTGGAAATGAACTTGAATAACTCATTGCACCCTCTTCCAACTTAATCAACTTCACTCACCTTGATGAAAAACCACTAAATGACAAAAAACCTCATTAAGTGTATATTAACACCAGCCCTGTTTGTAGTGTGGGAAAAGATACACCTATTATACAGCAAAGAATACCCACCTAGAATGGGTATATATCTAGAACATAGAAAATATAATAAAAACAGATAAATACTCATAAATATATTTGGAATGTATGTAAACATATAGTCTGTGAAATGCAATAATCCAAGACAGCTTCAATAACTATTTCTTGAGTATCTATAATGTACACAGCACTATAGTGGATAATTCTATTAGAAAACAAAAATTATACATGTAGTCCTTGACCTCATGGAGCTCACAGTGTAGTAGGGAAGTCCAACAGGTCCACAGCTCTCTCTGATACAAGACAGAAATGGTTAGTGCTAAAATGAGACTTACACAATGTCCTAAGGGAGTAAAGATTAAAAAAAAAATTCAACCAACCGGACAGGGGTGGGTATGGGGCTAATGATTCATAGGGACTCATGAGGTTTAAGCTAATTTATAAAAGGGGGTGGGATCGTAGGCACCAGGAACAGAAGAGGCAGAACCAGCCTAGGAGAAGGGAAGCCCAGTGCCAGCAGAGCGAGCTGCTGGAGCCTGCAATGGAAAAGGTAACTGGAAAGACAAAGTGGAGTCATCCCCAAATGGCTCTCAACATGTCCTCTCCCGTAACTCCTCTATCCAATAATCTTGAAATGATCACGAGAGAAAACAAGCTTAATTCGTCACAGAAGGGTATTTATGTGTTAAAATATTTATAATATACATTTTCAGAACATTTTAAGTATAAACTTTATTGCAAATTGTTAATAATAATTCAGATCAAGGGAAGTACCTCCTAGACTGTGTCAGCAGCCTACTGCTAAGAACCACTGCTATTGGTAATACAGAACAAGCAAAACTTTTTGAGCAGAGGAGAGATGTGATAAGATCCATGCTTTAAGGAGACCACTCTCTGGAACAGGTCTGAGGAGAAAAGCTTGGAGGCAGGGGAAGCATTTGAAAAGAAGGGAGGTTTGAGCTAGGGCTAAGGCTGAATTGTGAGAACACATGCACTTTGCAGACTAGCTTTGCAGAATAACCAAAAGGAGTCTGTGATCCAGTGAACAAGGTGCATGACAGTATATGAGGCAGTCAGCGAAAGGAAAGTGTTAGGCAACTAAAGCTTCAGCATCCGGATTAAAAAATAATAATAATAAAAAAGAATAGAGGCTTCATACATATTTCCAACTGCCTGCTATAATCATTCCTGGGCTAATATGCAGTCTCCTCGCACACCATGCTCGCCTAAACCTGACCCCCCTCCTGTATCACCTCAACCATGAATTGTACCTCCAGTCGCCTACCTCATAATCAAAACTTGGGAGAGAGATGAGCCTTGCTCCTCCTCCCTAACACCCAGGTCCACTTGGTAAGCAAGTCAGAGCATTTCTAATGTCTCAGCACCTTTGTACTCCCTTCCCAACTCCAGCGTCACTGCCTGTGTTCAGGCTTTCATCACTTCTCACCTGTATGGCCACAACCCCTAGCTGGCCTCCCTCTCTCTGTTCCTGCCCTTCCCATTCCCACATGTTCCCCCAGCCCATTCTCAACTTTGCTCCAAAAGAAAAATGAGCAAAATGTGAGTCTGATCACACCACTGCCTGGAAATACATCCTTTAATGGTGCTGCCTAACCTCCCGGATAAAAGTCCAGAAAAGATCCTTAGTGGCCTGGATCTCACTTGCCCTTCCAGTCCTGTCCCTCTACACTCTGGGCCTCCTGAACTACTCACAATCTTGACTCACTTCTAGGCCTTTGCTTGCATTCTTTCACGTATCCCCTTTTCTTGTGTATCTTCTCAACATTCTTCAAGACCAGGATTAGGCATTGATTTTTCCAACAAATCTTCCCTTATGCTGACTGCTAGTTTTCCCTAACATATGCTCCCTTAGCACCATGTACTCACTTGTCTTACAGCATCTGCCGTGCTCTATGGTAATAAGCCGATTCTTTGTCCAGCTCCCCTACTGTTACAGGTGTTCTTCGTTTGTCACTTAGATTCAATAGCCACCTTTCTCTGTTCTGCTCTGTCCTGCCTTCTACAAGTCAGTTCAGCTAGGCCCCCTGGCTCTGACTTGGTTCAACCACAGGGAGACACCAGTAGGATATCAGAAGTTAGGAGGTCTTTATGCCCTCATGTCTTCACTGCGTTGGCTAAGTTTCTAGCAATGGCTGCATTCCTTTACAGCTAGAGCTCTTATCAGTTGGCCCCTCTTTCATCGTTTCACCGATCATGGGGCTCCAGAAATATGTGGCCTTCTCTTACTCCTTCAGGTGCAGAGGCAGTAGCAGCTTCCATCCCTGGTTGATTTCTTTTAATCCAGCTCCCACCTCCATAGATAATTCCTTCATTAAACTCTCTTCAGTTAAACCCTTTGAGTGAATCATCTCTTTACTGAGACCCTGACTGATACACTTGCTGTTCACTTCTTGAGAACATGTAAAATATCATATTATCTTTAGAGACTCAACGTCTAGTATCTAGCCTATAATTGGTATTCAACAAATATTTATTGAAGAAGAAATGACCAAGCCAATGGTTGGCAAACTTTTTCTATATGGGTCCAGATACTAAATACTGTAGGCTTTGCAAGCCATATGATTTCTTCCACAACTATTCAACTCTGCCATTATAGTATGCAAGCAGCCATAAACAATACACAAATGTCTCTCTAAATAAATAATAAAATGTATTTATAAATAAATAAAACTTATTTATAAATAAACAAAACTTCATTTATAAAAACATATGTCAGTCCAGATTTAGCCCACAAACCTTACTGTGCCAACCCCTGGAGTAAACAAATGAAATGTCTTTGCAGCAGTGCCTATCTCTTAAACTTAATGTGACATAAAGATACTTAATAAAGGAGTAAACATACAGAGAGAGCTCACCAAAGACATTTATCTGAAATTCTTGGGCAACTAAAATTAGCAATTAATTTCATTTTGATTTACAGTACATAACCTTCTCTTTTTTTACTTATACATAACATTCTTAACTAACTATATTAAATCAACTAACAAGCACGGATATATGTTATGCATTACCAAAGAATTCTGATATTAATATTGATATATCTTTAGAAATAAAACCATGATGGGTTATAGAGTATAAGAAAAGCATGCATTGAGTAATTAAAAATACTTAAAAATGATTGCCCTTGACTTACAGTATTTTTTAACATTATACCTTAAAGCAACTTAAAACTGTTTTATAAAAATATTATTATAGTATAAAAGATATACCTGTTTTATCTTTAAAATCCAAAGAAAAATATTCAAAGTCTTGTAGATTAAACTCCACTCTGGCACGTGTTATACCTTTGTTTTTTATTATAAATGGAATAATCTGAGTAGCACCAACATAGGTACCACTGAAGTTAAATATGTCCTAAAATTTAAAAAGAGAAAAAGAATCAGAAAGCAGAGTAATATTTTATGAAAATAATGTAAACCTAAAATTATACTTTAAGAGAGTAAACCTTAAAGTTCTCATCACATGAAAAAGAATGTAACTATGTTTGGTGACGGATGTTAACTAGACTCATTATGGTGATTGTTTTGTGATACATATAGATATCGAATCATTATTTGGTATATCTAAAATGAACATGTTATATGTCAATTATACCTAATCAGGCCTAATGTCCACTAGGAGAGACAGATTGGTAAACAAATAAACAGACTGTTTATTTTTCCTCAAGGACATTATTAACTACTGTACTCTAAAAAAACTGGTCACATTTTCCTTCCTCTCCCCTACATCCTATACTTAATCAGTTACCAAATCCCATTTATTCTGCCTCCTTCACCTCTTATCCCTAACGTAATTGTATGAAGCTAATAACGCATCACTTTTCCTTTCATTTCTAGATTTGTACTTTCTCCAATTCTCCTCTCCACAACTAAGTCACAATTAAATTAACTGAAAATCTGCACTTGCTATCTTAAGATGTGATGATTCTCCTCCAACTACCGGACAATGTCCAAGTTCCTTGGCAGGGCTCATAAAGCTCATTTTGACCTTCCCCTGCCTCACCTAGCTCCACTCTTACCCTAATCACTTCATACTTCAGCAAGCTGTATGACCTGTCCTTTCCAACCAATACCTGATGCTTCATCCTCCTGTGTCTTCATCAATGTGTCCCTTCTGTTAGGAAAGCTTTTCTCTAACTCATAATTGCTTGATAAGATATTATGTATCTTTAAATCCCAGTTAGATAAACCATATTTTATTACACTGTGCTCAGAACTACTTCTGTTCCTTATACTTACTTACCATTACAACATCATAAAGTCTGTTTATTTGTTTACCAATCTGTCTCTCCTAGTGGACATTAGGCCTGATTCATTTTTGTATCCCTAGCACCTGATGCCTAGCTTAAATATATGTAAGGAATGTTTATTGAATGTATCTTTTTTTTAAGATTTTATTTTATTTATTTATTTGAGAGACAGAGAGAGCGAAGAGAGCACAAGATGGGGTAGGGTCAGAGGGAGAAGCAGACACCCCGCCGAGCAGGGAGCCCGATGCGGGACTCGATCCCAGGACTCCAGGATCATGAGAAAATATTGCATTAAGGTCAACAGGCCACTATTTGTTTCACTTAAAATATCAACCCAGTTCTACAGGGGAAACCTGTAAAATCCAAATGGATAATGAAAACTTGATGCTCTGTATATGCAAAAAGATCACTCCTCTTATACTATTCTGGCCTTGTGCATATGTGCATTTGGATAAAATGTCCTAATTGTTATTAAGATACATATTCAATGCCATACAGTTATTAAATGTCTTACTGATGATATCTGATGATGCCAGAATATTATTTTTAAAAGGCAGCTAGGCAGCTATGTTTAAAATTCAACATAATCAGGGAATATTAATATATATGAATATAAAGTCTTATAAATCACTCAATTGTACCATAACGTACAAAGCATGCCACAAAGACCTTTAGGGTGTGGAAAAAAAATAGTCAAACTCTCAATACACTTCTAATATTGTTCAAGGACAAACACCATAGCAATGGAGAAAGCACTCCGGATACTACAGGGTTTAATCTCTAAGAATAACCAGTCTTGGACAAGCTAGCCTAGTATCTGTCAATCTCTAGACTTATCATGCCTTCAACACCAAATAAAATAAAGGCTGGAAAATTATAACTCAAAACCAGACACTAGAATTAAATCAAGCAAAAATGGGTGAGGCTGCCAGTGCCTCAGGTAGGGCCTCGTTACTAGTACTAGTGGGAGAGAGAAAGAGAAGTGCAGATAATCTGAAAATAATATGACAACTGCTATGATGAAAATGGTTCCAGAGTTTAAGATGTTTGTACCATCTTATGAATGTCACAATGGAGGGACATATGAGCCTGCTTTGAAGGATCATTGGTGAGTTGTTTTATTGTTGTTGTTGTTGTTGTTTTTAAAGATTTTATTTATTTATTTGAGAGAGAGAGACAGAGATATTAATGTTGTTTTTAAAGATTTTATTTATTTATTTGAGAGAGAGAGACAGAGATTTATTTATTTGAGAGAGAGAGAGAGAGAGAGCATAAGCGGGGAGGAGAGGGAGAAGCTGACTCCCTGCTTAGCCACCACTGACGACACAGGGCTCGATCCCAGGACCCTGGGACCATGACCTGAGCCGAAGGCAGACGCTGAACCGACTGAGCCACCCAGGTGCCCCCAGGATAAGTTTTTTGGGTAGTTGAGACCAGATTTAATTCCTGAAAGACTTGCCAGGGGAAAAAAAGTATGTGTGTGCACTCTATCAATTGTAGAACAAAGTTCTATCAGGGTTCAGAACAATAATTTTTTTTTAATTTTAGTTTTTTTAAATTTTATTTATTTATTTCAGAGAAAGAGAGTAAGTGAGAGAGAGAGAGAGAGAGCACAAGCCAGAGGGGGAAGAGTCAGAGGGAGAAGCAGACTCCCCACTGAGCAGGGAGCCCAATACAGGGCTCGATCCCAGGACCCTGAGATCATGACCTGAGCTGAAGGCAGATGCTTAACAATTGAGCCACCCAGGTGCCCCCAGAGCAATAATTTGAAAAATAAATATAACTATAGTTCAAAAAATGCAAATCAAGACCACAGTGAGATAACATTTTATACTCAATAGATTGGCAAACATTAAGTCTTACAATACAACTTATGGAGCAATGGAATGTGGAGCAATGGAAACTTGAGAAGAAAATATGGAAGCTATCTTGTGAAGCCAAAAATGCATGTATTCTATGACTTAGCAACTTCACTCCTAGGGAAACTCTGGCATCTGTACCTCACAAGATATGCACATGAATGTTCCCAGCTGTAGTGTTTGTAATAACAAAAAAAGAAACGCCCAACTGAATGGACAACAGATTGAGTCTCTGAATTGCAACAGGTCTACATAATGGACTATTAAGCAGTAGTGAGAATTAAAAAAAAAAAAAAATACAGCTACACACAACTTAGATGAACTTTGGAAATACAATATTCAGTTTAAAGTAACTCACCAAAGACTACACACAGCACATGTCTGTCATAAAGCTCAAAAATGAACAAACTAAATTAAATAATGAATGGTTAAGGAATTCATACATATGTGGTGAGATGATTAGAAAAAGTAAAGGGAGAATATTCAGAAAATTCAGTAAAGTGGTTATCTCTTGGGGCGCCTGGGTGGCTCAGTCGTTAAGCGTCTGCCTTCGGCTCAGGGCATGATCCCAGGGTCCTGGGATCGAGCCCTGCATCGGGCTCCCTGCTCTGTAGGAAGCCAGCTTCTCCTCTCCCACTACCCCTGCTCGTGTTCCCTCTCTCACTGTGTCTCTCTCTGTCAAATAAATAAATAAAATCTTAAAAAAAAAAAAAAAGTGGTTATCTCTTAAGAGGGGTGGGATCATGATGAAGCCTACAGATGACTTTAATGGTATTGGTAGCATTCTGAAAGTTCAGTTCAGTGGTAAATTCTGAAAACTCCATTTAATATTCTGCTTCATCACTTATATTTATATTACATATATTAATTTCTACATGTCAAAGTACTACAGAATGAAATATTTTCAAACATAAATGGGCTGACTAGGGACACATAACAAAAGTCACCACACTCATAAACTGATTACTCAAATAGTTAACATACAAACATACTCACCGGATTAATTTCCACATCAGCAATCTCAACAGATCCACCAATCCTAAGGTCTATGACATTTGCATGGCGAATAGCAACCTTATTTGAGAAAAATATAAAGCCTTGTAGAAACCACATTAAAATCTACTCATATACCGCTAAAGTATTACCTGGCATTTGGCAATATTTTTGAATTTAAATAATCATAACATATTATAAATGTCACAAGATTTATTCTGGTAGTTGTCATCACATTTCTTGTTATGCAGAATTGATATTCCTAAGAGGAATGAGTGTTCAACTCTTAAAAACCTCCACCACAAATGGGACCAGTTCATAGCTTGTGAATTTGACTGCAGAGTCCTACCCATTTAACTACACATTATTGCCATGCTCTGTATCCCTTCTGTATTTACCTAATTTCAATGGATTATTCAAAATTAAAACAGATAGGGAACTGAGTACAAACATATTTCCTCCCATAGAGATACTAATATCCATAATGATCATAATAATAATGATGAAAGTAGCTAAAAATTGCTGAGTAAATGGGTCAAGTACAGTGCTAAATACATTGTCTCCTTTTTAATCCTCAGTATCCTGTGAGGTTACCAATATTAAGTATTTTAACTTTTTCCTGATGGTCTCAAAACAGCACTGGTTAAATATGAACCAAGGACTGCCTGAACACTCAACTGCCTCTGAGAAAATTAAGATAGTGAAATAAGAATTTAGTTGTATAATTCCTACAAAATTAGAACTGTAAATTATCTGAACATATAAGTGTCTAAGCAAAATTTCAGAAGCACAAAAACAGCATTCGCTGAAAGCCCTACCTATATAAGAACAGGGAGCATCAAGTCTGGATTTAAATCTAAATATACATCTAAGAAAGAGATAGAAGTGTATTTCACTCTTTCCATAGAAAGTCAGTGACACTGTTCATAGGCAAAAAAAACCCCTCCAAACTATCATTTTTTCAAAATTATTGGGGAAAGCAACATGTCATTTTTTTGTTTTTTTTTTATTTTTTTATTGTTATGTTAATCCTCATACATTACATCATTAGTTTTAGATGTAGTGTTCCATGATTGTTTGTGCATAGCACCCAATGCTCCATGCAGAACGTGCCCTCCTCAATACCCATCACCAGGCTAACCCATCCTCCCACTCCCCTCCCCTCTAGAACCCTCAGTTTGTTTCTCAGAGTCCATAGTCTCTCATGGTTCGTCTACCCCTCCGATTTCCCCCCCTTCATTCTTCCCCTCCTGCTATCTTCTTTTTTTTTTCCTTAACATATATTGCATTATTTGTTTCAGAGGTAACAACATGTCATTTAATTAACTAAATCACTATATCCATATTATACGATTTCTACATTTTATTTAAAGAATATATAGTATATAAATAAAATACTTGACTAAAATCATAAAAAGCATAATTTAATGATTCAGAGGAAATTATAAATCGACATGTTCTTCATTGATGAATCCCATATATAAGTCTCAACTCCTCATGACTGGCTTTCACCCACCTCCCCATTATTCATCATCCACTGAATCTACAACAGAAACTAACATAAAACTTGTGCCCAGTAAATATGTGTTGAATGGATGTATAAATGAATCTTACTACATTATGTTAAAAAGGTAAGCTTTGTAAAAACAGCATACTCTTCTAAAATACAGTAGAAATTAATCTTTTAGTGAAACTATTTTTACTGGCCATATTTTTTATTTTTTCCAGAATATTACATAAAAAAATTCTGCCCAAATCTCAGACCATGTACCATAATATATAATTTATAAATATCTTTCAATACATATTTCTTCATAAAAGTAAGATATAATCATTAGGTTGTTTATCTGGGGCAAATTGGTATTATCACATTAAGCTACATATTATTTAAGAATTGTTATGGAAAAAAAGAACTGTTATGGGAAATTAAGGATAAATTGGGGGATATATCTAAAACCATTCATTTTGATTTGATAACAGTGTACATATTATTTTTTAATGTGAGTAAATGTACATAGCTGATGATCAGATTGGAAATCAAGAGTATTCCATTCCTCTAGTTTATAATAAAATTTATGAGACTAGTCTTCTGTTTTATGTATTCCATTTAGCGAACAATTAGAAAAGCCCCTAAAATCAAGGTAATGTCTTTTCAATTACATAATTTCCAAAATATAAACTAGTAAAATATTCTATGCATGCTATAAATATAGATCTTAACACCATATAGAATTTGCCTATAATTCATATAGTCATTGAAGCTATTTAGAAATAACATTCCAAAATTGATTAATTTTTCCTAAGGTATCTAATTAAATCAAATATCTAATTAATGCCATGAAAAAGTCATCCTTTCCTCTGTGACTAGTGAGAACTTGTCACAACTCAGAGATGCCAAATATCATTCTAATTTCACGTGAAAAATGCCTCATGTCGACAAACTGTATCCATTTCATCTTAGTAGAAATTTCCATTACCAATTGTCACCAAAAATATTTTCTACAAATCCTCTTGCCAGGTTCTACTAACTATTTCTACATGATTATATAGGTAAGGTTGCTTATTCTATAGATCTCCAAAAACTGCATTTCTTTAGAGGTAACTCAATTGCTAACAAAGTAACCAAAATTTAAAAAATTACTCATTAGTATCATAACATTAAAACCATTCCCATTAGAAGAAATCCTTAAAACAAGTTTTCTAAGAATAAACACACCATTTTATAGCATTATACTTACTATTATAAATCTCTTAAACAACCAAACAAGTCCACATACATACATATATATATATGTATATATATATATGGTATGAATATATATATGCATAAACATACCTTTGCTCTTGTATCAAATTTTTCTACTACAGTAGGTGTACAGGAGATATTGAGAACAGTTAATCCCCCAAAAGGAATTATTCCTTGTGATGGAACAATATTAATGGTAGGCAAAAGACTCTGGTCACAAACCTGTAATTGAAAATTTGCAGAAATGCTACATTATCCTTTAAATAAGCTTTCATAGGAAAGCTTCCAAACTACAACCCAGAGAGAGGACCCCTGGGCACAGGGCACGAGACGATTTTGTAATATGTTTTCCAACACTGGACGCACAAATAAACTTCAACAAGGATTTGTACCCCTAACCCAGCAAACAGAACTTTCAGCAGTGGCGGCATCCGATTCAAGTAGGATGATGAAGTTTCTTGTCTGGAACGTTATCAAGACTTAGCAAAACTTACAAGGATGAGATATATCTGTTAGAGAAGATGACAAAATTCTAGATACTACTTTGATAGTTTGCCTTTTCCCTGACAGTAAACACTGAAAGCAAAGTTAGTGGGGAGGCAGATGATAAAGTAACCTCCTGTTCTTTATTATTTCCTTGATAGCCTAATGTCTAAGATATCATTTTGACCTTCAAAAAAGTTATAAGTAACTTACCAAAGGATTTATGGTGTGGTTCTTGGGGGCTAGTTTAGGACTATCTACCATGCTTTAAGCCAGAACAATTTAAAGGAAAACTGGTTAAGGTATTTTGGGGATGAGGGAACAAACAGACTTCAGAACTAATTTTGAAGCAACAGAGTAGAAAAAGGTATCTGCATTTGTTTGTTTGGGCAGAAAACATGTAGATATAAAGCTTGAATGAAAGATCTCAAACACTAACCTCTATCTATTGTCACTGTTGGGAGATCTTAATATATTTTTCAGCAAAATGTTCTATCACCACTTAAAACACCCCCCACCCTGTAATTTAAATCAGGGGCAACAACTATAGAGTATCTTTACAAGGATCTTGCTCTAGGCCCCAGTTTCTACCATAACAGTCCTGATGACAGAGTGAAAATGAGAAGAAGAGAAGTATGTCATTAAATATGAGTTGTAATAGCAACAATGGATGTTTTTGACAGTGCTCTCTTTTCCAAATTATCTTTTTTTCAATAAGACAAAATGACAGGAAGAAAAAAAGAGGTAAGAAGAGGAAAGCCTAAGGGCGGAAGAAAGGAGAAATGATTTTTGTGGGAAATTAAAAGGACAAAGTAGATGAAGTGTACTTAGATAAGTCTCACATGAAATATCTAAATATTAGCATTAGTTAATTTATAAAGACTAAAGTATTAACAGCACAGTGATCATGGCAAAAAAAATTAATTCAAATTATAATGTGATCTGATCCAAACAAGATTCCAAGATTCTACATTACCTTGAAATAAGCATGGTTTTGTCCTACGTTGTGAAGAATGGCTTTCCTCCAAGTTGTTAAACCTTGAGGACTATTACTGAAGAGGATCCTTGGCTCCAAAAATATGACCTTGGTGTGACCAAGCTAATAATAAGAGGAAAAGAGAGAAGATACAATAGAAATAATATTCTTTTAGCCCCTTCCAAATGACTAAAATTTTTTCAGCCTCATGGAAATTTCTAAAACATGAAGGGTTATCAGATGTTATGTTGTACTTAAAATAAAGGAAAATAGAATGGAATATCTAAAATGTACTCCTAAACCGAGGAAGGCAAGGGGAATAAGACAATTCTACGGAAGAAGTAAATCCAGGACAGAGAATCATGTAGGAGATCTTAGAGATCATCTGTCCAACTATGTACAGGGTGTTACTGTGTGCTATGCAAAAGGAAAGAGTTCAAGAGTCCCCCAGCATGTGAAATAATGTGCCAAATGAGATTATCTAGGCATGTTTTTACTATTAGTCTTCTAATGCTTAATATGCTGATAAGGCACACTGTGCGTACCTCAGAATGGGGAGGTGGTTCACTATGATTCACCGAGTTGCTTAGGTGCTTATCTTCCTCCTTATCCCCACACAAATCACTTCACAGAACTACTGTATCATGGAACAGTTTTTTGAAAATGCTGACATTATCCACCTCTCCCATTTCACAGGAAAGCAAACAAAAGCCAAGGGGAACTAGAACCCAAGTTTTCCGATTCCTTATACAGTACTCTTTACACCAGACCCTGCTGTCTTTATCTATGATAAATTATTTATTGTCTTGGGAAGTTTTAATATACCCTTATAATTATCTGAAGAACATGACTTGGGTAATTGGAACAATAAATTTCTAAACAAAGCTAACAGATGACGAAATGGTCAAGAAAGTCCTTCATAAATTAATGACAAACATTAAATGAACATTGTATTTAATCATTTCATGTTCCTCCAGCTTTACTTTTGTAAGAGAAACACTTCACAGTTCATTAACCTAAAGGACCTCAAAAATTTCCCATAAAATAATCCAATTCATTATTCTGATATCTTGGACTTTAATTCTTAACCAATCTTAGTGTAGGGAAAACAGAAAGTAAATTTGATCTGAGGGTAACAGCAAAGATGGTGGAGGCAAACATATATAGATATAAATTCTACCTAGGGCATTTAGTGCGTGTGTGAACTTGTATTAGTTAATCACTCACTCTAATCCTCCATTTCTTCACCCATCAACTGAGTTATTAGTACAGCTTTACAGAGTTGGTATAAGGATTAAATTAGATAATACATGAATAGCATTTAGCATCCCGCCTTACATACAGTAATTAATGATACTTATTATTAATGCAGTCTAAATTACTAAATTGCTCATCTTCTGCCTGTTAGAAACAAATACATATGGTGTGAGTATGTGGTCAAATTTATATTACTAACTTTGACAAACACAGTTATGTAAGTAACAGCTAAAGAACTGTGTGCATATGTTCACCAAAATAGAGGTATAAGAATGTTAAGAGAAGCACTATTATAGTAGCTAAGAATCTGAAACAATCCAAATCCCCATCAGCTGTGTAATGGAAAAATGATGGTATAGTCACACAATGGAATACTACTCAGGAATGAGAATGAATACTCTGTCACCACATGTATCAGAATAGACAAAGCCCACAAACCTAATGATGAACAAAAGAAGCCAGACATAAAAGAGAACATATGCTTTGGTTACATTTATATAAAGTTTAAAACCAAAATTAATCTATGCCCTTAGAAGTAAGGATACTGATAACTCTGGGAGAGACACAGAGGGACTGGAAGTGTGGATGGGGAGGGTGGTTCTTTTGCGATGCTAGTCATATTCTGCTTCTTGATCTGGTTGATCTGAGTGTGAGTTACAAAGATGCTATCAGTCTATAAAGACTGAATGATACAGAAGCCACAGTATGTATCCTTTGAATGTATCGTATACTTCAATAGAAATTTTTAAAAAGAATAGCAAGTAATTTAAATGTAGGAAAAGCAGCAGGGTCCAGCTTATTTCAAGTCTGGAGCAGAGGAATGAACCTACTGATTTTCTGACTGTACTTGCCATCATTAAAGTGGATGAATCTCTTCTCTCTTAAGGCTATGAGCTCCTTCATAGCTAAAATATTTACAAGCATGATCATGGCCTGGAGATAGAGATGAGATTCAGTAAAACAGCACTGGCTTGAGTTAAATTACTGAGAATGCTGGGAAGAAAATTTCGTACACAAGTAAAGAGGATTCTTGCTGATTACGAAGCATGAAGTTAAGGCCTTCTGGGCTCTACCACAAAAGGAAAGTTAAAATTACATGTTGCAGCTTTAGCTTTACTCATTTTTATTATACGAAGTATATTCTATAAAATTAGAATTTTCCGTATCTCCTTGCTATGTAAATTATGTGGTCCATTTCATACTGAATTATTAATTACCACTAGAATTCTAACAATGCAATATAATAGGACAAAAATACAATTTTCTCTATTTTCTTTAGTTTCTGTTAATGAAATCATTTAATTTCAAGTGGCCCCCATGGTACTGTATGTTTATAGAGGCTCTAATGACAATCTAGTATTGTTGGCACAACAATCTTGGATTTGTGAATTAATTCTAGGTAACACAACACATTTTTTTTAGCAGTCTTCATTTATGGTAGAGAAGTGGGACCAAGAAGATGGTAATTCAGTTAACTAAATATTGCAAGCAAAATCAGTTTTACTAACATAGGATATATACTCAACTATACACACACATATATACCCAACCAATTTAGAGTCCTCAAAATAAAAATCATATCCAAAGGAAATCATTACATGTGCAACACATTTTAGTGTCAGCGTGTTTCCTTCATTGACATGAAGAACAAATTCTCCCCTTTCTGGAGAACTGAAACCTGGCAGCCATGTTACTTCACATTCCAATGAAGAGTATGGTTCAACCGTGCCTACAGAGAATTTAGAAAAAACAGACATTGACCACATTTTAATTATATTCATTTTAATATCCAAAATAAGAGGTGGCATAAATATATAATTACATTATCTAACAAATTATTTAAACTCAAAATATACGGAAATGCTGCATGAGAGATTATGAGTATAGACCTATAGAGTTCGATTAAAATCTAAAATGCATACTTTATTTTCCAATTTTATTAGGCAGATCAAAATATTTGACAAAAAGAATGCCGATATTTAGCAAAATGTCCCCTTCATATGCTTCCCAACACTGAAATAGTTATGTTAATACACTCATTCGGTTTTCAGAGGAAGGAATTACAATTACCAGAGGCTTTATTGTTTTTAAATTTGTTCACATCCCTAGAGATATCACCTCTGATGTAGCTATTAGTAATTAACAGATTTCTATAATTCAAATGTGTTGAGAACCCAGGAGGTATCAGGCACATTTGGTATGAGCTGCTTCATCTGTTTAAATTCATCATTTCCTTTGGAGTAAGAAAATAATACTTGATGGAAAGAATGACTTAGAAATTCTATTTATCTTAGGCCATCAGAAGTCCACAGATCGGTACTCCATGGCTGCCTTAGCAGGCTGATGATGCCTTCACAGAGCAATGATCCCTCTAGCTTCCTATACTACTGTTCTTTACTATGTGGCTTTCCTCCATGTAGAAAGGTGTCATAGTGTCGTGGTTAAAAAAGCACAAATTCTAGGGTCGGAACCCCTGGTCCAATTTCAGCTCTGCCATTTACTACCTGAGACCTTGGACAATTTACTTAACATATGTCACACAGCCTCCTTAGACATAAACGGGGATAACAGTTCTATGTAACTCAGAGAATTGTAGTAGGGATTAAAGAAGCTAATACATGAAGAAGTACTTCAAACAGTGCCTGGTACGAAGGAAGATGGAGCTAAAAGAAACTTCTGTCCATACCTCATTAGCAAGAAAAGCTGGGGAAAAGAGATTTCTAGATATGAACGTTGCTCCCCCAACAAAATGAGGGTCCCTTGGAAAAGGGAATGGGTATCAGATATGGGCTTAGCAATATCTATTACAATAGGATATGGATATGAACAAATTATTATAGATGACATAACAAATACACAGTGGGAGGTGGGGGGAGCCTAAATTAGCCCAAGAAAGTGGAGGAAACTTCATTATAAGAAGATGGCATTTGAATTGTGAAAAATGAGCAGAAGCTGCAGGAGGACAAAGCCTGGGGGAATATAAAAGTGAAGTGACCACGCTGGAAGAGAGTGGTGTGTCAAAAAGGCTGATTGGAACTTTGACAAAGTAGGTCCTGACGCGATCTATAAAGATTGGCAGGTACTAGACATGGTCAAGGGTGTCTTACTGGAAGACAGTGAGAGTGAACTGCTTGAAGACAAGTGTGAGGATTGAGCAGACTCGAGAGTTCAGTAAGATTAAAGACAACATGGATAAAAACACAAGCACAAACATGAACAGTACCTAATGAAAAAGTCAAATTAGAAGCCCAATTCTATCTTAGGAAATATCAATTCCACTCTTACACTCATCCCCCTACAATATCCAGGACCCAAACCCAAATCCAAAATACATCACACCTCAGAGAGAAAGCACAATCACAACATAAAATTTAATTTAGAACTATTCACTTTAGTTTACAAAGATATAGACAGTGACAGGATTAAACGCATTATTCAGGATGTAAAACCAATATAGCAAAAGGGATATAAGAAAAATAACATAAGAAAAAGTTATTTTCTGTTTTAACAAAGAGGCAAAAAAATTAATTATTATATGAACATTCAGAGCAATAAAAGGAAGATGACATAAGAAAAACCCATGTATATAATATAAATTATGCACACTTTCTTCAATGCTATATGAAATAGATTTGAGTACTTTATTATTTGTGTTTTAAAAAATTCAAAAGTACTTAAAGCCTAACGGTATTACTCAAAAACATTGTATTTGGAATTAAATGTCTGTGTTTTGTGCTTTGAAAAATGTAGCAGATGTTATGAACCACCAAAGAAACTGAAACACTAAAATCACCCCTGTAAAAATAAGAATTCTCACAATTACAAGAAGCATAACCAGTGTTCTAGTTCATAATATTATAACTCCACTTCTCTTTTGTCAAGTCAAGCATCATCACTACATTTCCAAGGCAGGCAAAAGGGGAAAGTCCTACCCATTCAGCCCTGGTTAGGATGGAGAAATACAAGGAAAAGAGCCAAGCACTGTACTTTCCAGACACGCTCGATGCCTTATCATGTGCTTAATCAAACCTATAAAGAATACAGATAATATAACTACCACAATGTGATGACTGTTCAGAATCTCTGAAATGTGCAGAAATATTTTCTCTCCCTTCCCTGATTATTCACTCAGTTTTTCTCTAGTACCGAGGCAGGACTCAGCCTTACCAGTATTAATAACAAAAAAAAAGAGCCTGGTAAAATGAATCTGCCAGATATTGATGGAAGTATAACTTGGATGCTTAATAAATGATAATCTGGGATTTGTTAAATCAATACATGTTAATAAAAAGATTAAATATGGTTATATCAATGACTTCCAACCCTAATGAAGGTACAGTACTACTTTACCACCGTATAGATCCACAAATATATCCATACTAAAATTAAGTGAATTTAAATTAATACTGAAGCTGGTCTGTAACACTCCCTGTTACAAACACCGGTAGACTTACATAAAAATCATGATTTGGAAATGACCGATACTCACAAGAATATAGACCTATGGCAAGATTTCTACAAACCAGTACTTCTCTATGATCTGAAATATAGTCTATTTAGATCCCAAATGATGAATATTCCTAAATTAGAAATAAAGAGGGAAGAAGGGGAAGGAAGAAGGGAAGAGTGTGGGGAAGGAAGGAGGGAAGGAAAAACAGAGAGAAGTAAGCAAGGCACAAGAAATTGATAGTAGGGATGGCTGGCTAGATGCATGTGAGGCTATTCCCACTCTGAGGACATTTTCAGGGAAAAAAGAAGTCCAAACAGAATTAGCAAATTTTCATAACCAAATAGCTCTCTATTTCTTTGACAACTACTCTTTGCCAGTCTTTATGGAAGGACTTTTCCATACATTTAATCTTTATGAGATATATTAGTCTCTCCATTTTACAAATAAGGGAACTAGTGTTATAGAGTACTTTTCTCAAGATCACAAACCTAGCAAGAAGCTAAGACTAGTTTTGAAATCAGGTTTATCTAACGCCAAAGTTTGTTTTACTTCCCATTCATGCAGAAATAGATTTTAGCTGATTATAAAACACCACATGAGACACTGCCGATACAAAAATCCAGATCCTTCCAGCTAGCTGAAAAGGGATAACATGTACATAAAATGAAGATACTATATAGATCATTCAACTTTTTTCTTTTTTAAAGACAGAGAACGCATGCAAGCAGGAGCAGGGGGTGGGGGGCGGAGGAGGGACAAAGGGAGAGGGAGACAATGTCACGCAGGCTCCACACTCAGCAAGGAGTCCGATGCGGGGCTCAATCTCATGACCCTGAGATCAAGACCCAAGCCAAAATCAAGAGTGAGACACCTAACCCACTGTGCCACCCAGGTGCCCCTTCATCATTCAACTTCTAACTTGCCATCTTATTTCTTTAAACGATAGCTTCTGTCCTCGTGAGGTCCTCACAGCACATCACAATGATGTCTGCTGAATTTGACAGGCTACTGGGTTAACACTTTAGCAGTTACCAGGGCTCAGTTTTGTGGCAGGCACATCATGTGGAATTATAGATTCTGGGGAATGGCTAAAGAAGGTTAACAGGACACTTAACAAATATATGGAACCACCAAAAACAGTTAATCGGAGAATATTTTCTATTAATTAAAAAATTACTTGTTTAAATGACAGTTTTAAGTTTTTAATTTTATTAACTGGATTTTATTACCTGTATTAAATATTGATTATAAAGAATTGGTGGATGCTTCTAAAATGATTCACAATCTAACAAAATAGAAGTCATTCTGAATCATATCTTATCACTGTTATCAAACTAAAACTAAACAAAACAATACTGTGTTCATCAGTATCTGTGAAGATTTATTTTGTCAACTTGGCCATACCTGGCCAAGCTATGGTACCCAGTTGGTTGGTCAGTCTAGATATTGCTGTAAAGGTATTTTTCAGATGTGATGAACATTTAAATCAGTAGACTTTGAGTAAAGATTACCTTCCATAATGTAAAAGGGTCTCATCCAATAAATTGAAGGGCTAAAGAGAAAAAACTGAAGTCCTTTTGGATTCAAGACTGCAACATCAATTCCTTCCTGGGTCTCCAGCCTGCCAGCCTACTGGAGTGCCCAAACAACTGTATGAACCAATTCCTTAAAATCCATCTCCTCCCTCCCTCTTTCCCTCTCTCCCTTTCCCTCTCTCTATGTATTTCCTATTGCTTCTATTCCTTTGGAGAACCCTAATACAGGATCCATATTTTCAAATCAAATTTACATATTTATGTATGTAAATATAAATGCCCCAATGACCATGTCTGATTTGCTTCAATTTTTAGCACCATTATACATTTCATACTCAATAAATGATTACTGCCTGAGCACATTAATAAATGAGTGTCTAAATCAAACAAATAGAACAAACTATTACCTTTAGCTGGACAGATGGAAAATGCCATTCCTCTTTTTGTGGTTACTGGTTGCCATTCAAATTTGGCAAAATAATTCTGATGATTATACAACCCAACTGTCCCCATAAAACACGTTTTCATGGAGTAGCCTTGTGGTCTCAATACTAGCTCATTAGAAGAGAGCTCAAGCTTTACTGGCATGACAACTGCCATCACTAGGATATGGCCACCAGGTATATTGTTCACTGTAAAGGTGAAAGACCTGTAACACAGCAAAAGCTGTCAAACTTAACTGAAAATAGCTATTTGCAGGTACAGAATTCAGTTACAAATAAAAATGCAATATTATTGATTAACACCCACAATTAGTAAGCAATACATCAAAATATTTATGGCAGGCTACCACTGAAATATCAAACTACAAATCTACAAATTGATGTACATATAGTTTCTATGTTTGAGGACCAAACGTAACATATTCTACAATTACAAAGTCAAAAAAATACATATTCTACAAAGGGACACTGATTCTAGCATATAGAAATTCAAAAATAAATCCTACTTCCAAAATTTTCCAATGGTGGGAGATTCAAATACCATTGAAATATAAGTACTAGCTGTAGGTGGAATCACATATGAAAATTGGTTGGTTTTTTGAAGTTCTTCCAAATTAATATCTAACTGGATCAAAATATGCATAGGTAGCATATTAATAACATGCAGTAGACGAGTATTTGTGGAGTTCACACAAACATCACCAAAGTTAAGGACAGAGGGCCCTGAAAAAATGAAAAATGATTAAGTTTAGTGTTGGCAAACGTATTCAGTAATTTTAAGTTTCCATACTATATTTTCACCAATTAATTTATAAAAAATGGTACTCAGAAAAATATTTCTTGTAATATCAGAAGTTATTAACTAAGATTTTTATTAAAATGCCCATAATTTGGTGTTTGGAGATTATTGGCTAAAATTCAATATAAATATATCCTAATTATATGGGAAATGATATTGAAAAATTATTAGTACTCATAACTCATTTTAGTACACTAATTTGCATACTTCAACACCTCTCCACTTCCATCAATACATTTATGTTCATTTACCCAGAACTTACAGAAATTGGTAATTTTCCCATTGCTCAGTACTTAAGTTTTCCCTTTTATTTTTTTTAAGATTTATTTATTTACTTTAGAGAGAGAGAGCATGAGTGAGGGGAGTTTTAAGATTTCCCTTCTAAATGACAGAAGTTTTTATATCATACAATTTTAATAATTATAGGTCTTCTACATCTTTTAACAGCTTGATTTAATAGTAACTGATATACAATAAGCTGTACATGTTTAAAGTGTAGAATTTCCTAAATGTTGACATACGTATACACCTATGAAACCATCACCACAAGGAAGAGAGTGAACATCCATCACTCCAAAGTTCTCTTGTGCCCCTTTATATTCTCTCCTTCCCATCATCCTCAGTACTCCCCCTTCCCAGACCCCCACTCAAATGCTTTATATCACAGTAGATCAGTTCACATGTTCTAGAGTTTTTTAAGAGTGGAATAATGTAACATGTGCAGTTTGGCTCTGATTTCTTTCGCTCTACACATTCCCTGGAGATTCATTCAAGTTGTGTCAGGTGTCAGTAGTCCATTCTTTTGTATTACAAAGTGGTAGTCCATTACAGGTGAATGTCTCTTCACTTGTTAAATGAAACTTGGATTGCTTCTAGGTACTGGCTACTACAATTAAAGCTGCTAAAATATTTGTGCACAAATATTTGTTTGAACACATGATTTCATTTCTTTCAGACAAATATCTAGGAGTGGAATGCATGGATCATATGGTAAATGCATGTATAAATGTATAAGAAACTGCCTGTTTTCAAGTGGTTGTGTAATTTCCCAATTCACTGGCAATGTATAAGAGTCCCAGGTCCCTCACATCCTTGGCAACAATTGAAATGGTGAGTTTCTGGTTTGTTCATTTTGTTTTGTTTTGTTTAACTTCAGCCATTTTAAGAGATTTACAGTAGTATCTCGTTGTGGTTTTATTCTGTTTCCCTAACAACTAACAACATTGTGCATCTTTCTATGTGCTTATTTCTCATGTGTATATCCTTGTTGATGAAGTATCTGTTCAAATCCCTTTGCCCATTTTTTAATTGGGTCATTTGTTTTCCTAATATTGAGTCTCAAAAGTTTTTGTTTTTGTTTTTGTTTTTGTTTTTAAGATTTTATTTATTTATATGAGAGAGAGAGAATGAGAGAGAGAGAGCACATGAGAGGGGGGAGGGTCAGAGGGAGAAGCAGACCCCCGGCTGAGCAAGGAGCCTGATATGGGACTCGATCCCGGGACTCCAGGATCATGACCTGAGCCGAAGGCAGTGGTTTAACCAACTGAGCCACCCAGGCACCCGAGTCTCAAAAGTTTTATACACATTATGGTTGCAATTCTTTCATGAGATACATAATTTGCAAATATTTTCTATCAGTCTATTCTTGTTTCTCTGTGCTAATGTCTTCCAGCCCCTTACAAAAGAGAAATAGCAATATATTCAAGAAGTATAGCAGATTTTAGAGTAATACTTCTCTTCCATATTTCAAAAAATTTATTTCTAGACAAAATTAAGTAAACACAATCCACTGTACTCCTCTGCTAATTACAAATTAAAATGTTGACAAAAATCTATGAAATAAACATCAGAAACTTCGGAAAAGCCACGAGGAAATGGATTGTCTAGGAATTTTAGGAATAGAGAGATAAACCTGTAGTGAATTTTCCTGGGTTATCATCGTGGCCTGGGCATTAGAGTAGCCTGCAGCCCATTCTCTCCACCAAAAGAACTGGGAAGAGGGTGGCCCTCTGGGGCCAAACCCTTTTAACTATACCTGCCCTATTCCAGGCAAACATCATGAAAGAAGTTGATCCCCTCAACACTAGGTTCTCAGAAGACTGGAGTAGAGCCCTGTCAATGATCCCTACCCTGCAGTAAGATGAAGAGAGACATCATTCCTTCCCTTCTCCACTAAAGAGGAAGTCCCTGTGGAGTTGCTGGGGTTGAGCCCTGTCAACCATATCTGCCCTGCATGAAGGCTGACAGAGGCAGTGCCCCTGTCCCTCTGGACCATGTGCCTAAGAGACTGTAGGGTAGAGTCCTATTGACTACCAGCACCCGGCACTAAGAGGAACAGGAGTAACATCCCTCCCCTCCACTTGGCACTGCAGTATATGAAATAAAGGCCTGCGGACCAAGGCTGCCCTGTATTAGACAAATGTCAGCAAACAGATGCTGCCCCTACCTCCCTACTATCACAGTGGCCACTCCACACCTCACTAAACAAAAGCAGGCAAATAACTGACACCCCTCCCCCCCCACCTAAAAAGTAGGGGGAGGGACACAGAGAGGTGGGAGTTAGCCAAGGACCTATTTTTAAATATGTGAATGAAGCTGTGGTCATATGTTGAACAGCCCATGTGTGAAATCTATCAGAACCAACACAGCAAATGGATTAAGAACAGAACTACAGGGGCGCCTGGGTGGCTCAGTTGGTTAAGCGACTGCCTTCGGCTCAGGTCATGATCTCAGGGTCCTGGGATCAAGCCCCACATCGGGCTCCCTGCTCGGCGGGAAGCCTGCTTCTCCCTTTCCCCCACTCCCCCTGCTTGTGTACTCAATCTCTCTCTCTGTCAAATAAATAAATAAAATCTTTAAAAAAAAAAGAACAGAACTACAATGTGAAATAATGCCTGGGTTTCATATAGTCTTCTGGGGAGCATACAAAAAGGGAAAACCAGCATAGTACCACAAACGCTTTGAAAATTAAATTGACACTTGTTACCCAGCACACAAATGTGGACTACAATGTATATTCCAGAGCTAAATGGATCATCTGCATCCTAAAATAGATTATTTAAATAGTAAACAAAGTCTCATAATATAGTACTCAAAATGCCCAAGGTATAAACCAAAATTACTCATCATACCAAGACTGAGATGACAGAGATGATCAAATTGCTTGACAAAAGTTTTAAAGAAGCTATTATAAAAATGACCAAATAAGCAATGATGAATACTCTTGAAATAAGTAGAAAAACAGTTTCAGCAAAGAAAGAGAATATCCAAAGAAGAACTAAATAGAAACTCTAAGATTAAAAAATACAGGAAGTAAAATAGAAACCTCTTGAGTATGCCCTTTAACAGAATGGGAGGACAGAAGAAAAAGCTGGTGAACCTGAAGAAATATCAACAGAATTTATCCAATCTGACAAACAAAAAGAAAACAGATTGAAAAAAATTAAGAGTCTCAGAGACCCATGGAACAAAAGCAAAAGGTCTAAAAATCATGTAAGTGGAGCCCCAGAATGAGAAAGTAAAAGATGGAGGGGACTGGGAAAATATTTGGGAAAAAATGACAGCTGAAAAATGCCCAAATGTAGCAAAAAAAAAAAAAGTAAAATTTCACATTCTAGAAGCTCAGTGAAACCCAAACAGAACAAATCCAAAGAAAGCCATGCCCAGACTTTTGAAAACTTTTTAAACTTTTGAGATAAACTTGAAAGTAAAAACAAAGAATCTTGAATAACATTCCATAGTCTTGATATAACAACATTTATATCAAATGTAAATGACACAAATGCACCAATTAAAAAACAAAGATTGTCAGAATGGATGAAAAAGTACTACATGCTGCCCACAGGAAACTTACTTCAAATACAATGACATAGGTAAGTCAAAAGTAGAAACAAGTAAAAAGATAAACAATGCAAAGGCTAAACAAAAGAAAGCTTTGGTAGCTAGATCAATATCAGACAAACTACATTTCAGAACAAAGAAAATTACCAGGGACAAAGAGGGACATTACATAATGATAAAAGGGACCATGAAGGCATAACAGTCTTAAATGTGTATGTACCAAACAAGGGAGCTTCAAAATATGTGAAGCAAAACAGACAGAATTAAAAGGAGAAATAATAAAATCTATAATCACAGTTTGGGATGTCAATCACCTTTGTCAATAACTGACAGACTGTCTAGACAAAAAAGCAGTAAGGATTTAGTAGAAATAAATACCTTTAACTAACTGGGATATAATTGACGTTTAAAGAACACTCCATCCAACAATAGCAGAATACTTCTTTTCAAGTCACATGAACCTTCAACAAAAGGGACCACATCCAGGATCACCCTTAACAAATCTTGAAAAATTTAAAAGAATTGAATACATACATGTGTGTACTTTGACCAAATGGAATCAAACTAGAAAACCATAGCAGAAAGAAAACCAAAAAATCTTGGAATTTAAGCAACACACTTCTAAATAACTGATGAGCCAAAGAGAGTATTTCAAGGAAAATTAGATAACACAGTTGACCCTTGAACAATAGGGGTTTCAACTGCATGGGTCCACTTATATGCACCTCCACCCCAATAAACATGTATTTTATATTAATCACCAAATAACTAGAAGCAAAGGGAAGGCTGAGGAAAGATGCAGAGAAAGCTGGAACAGCAAGGCTTTTGCCTGATCCAGACACTCCTCACAAAGGAATTGGCTCTGGGGAGGGATTCTCGCCAAAGCAGCAGAGCCCTTCACTAGTGGGAGTTGAACAAGGACCACTGAATGATAACCCACCTTCCACCCCTGGATCAAGGGGTGTGGGAGAACATGGATGTGTGTGGGGGGGGGAGGCAGGTCAGAATAGCCCCCGGGAGAAGCCCAAAGTGGACAATGGAGAGGGGCACTGTACATGGTGCTGAAAGTGCTTCCAGGTGGGGA